ACAAATAAACGTTATTTAATTAAATATAGTACTAGTATTATATTACTACTACTTTATAGTGTTAACTTAGGTAGATCTTAGTAAAGCTTAAGCCTATAGATTAACTATAAAGAACTAGTTTTTAATTCTACTAGCCTAATATTTCTAGAATATAGTAAGTATTCTCTTAGTATTTACTAACTCTTAAGCTACTATCTACGCCTAAAGAGCGCGCTCTTAGAGAGATAGAGGTATAGCTACTTACCTACCTATAGTTAAGTAGTAACTTAGAATATTCTTAGACGCCTATTAGTGTAACGTAGATACTAAACTATATTATATATTTATAATAGAAGAGCTTTATATAGGTAGAGAGCTTCTAATAGATAGTAAGCTTTCTATAGATAGTAAGCTTTCTATAGAGAAAAAACTTACTAGTTAAGATTAACTATATTTATTAGCGTAGTAAGAGTAGAGTAAGACTAGTCTATACGTACGCCTTATATACATAAGTATATATATCTATCTTAATTATTAGTTAAACCTCTAAACTACTATAAACTAGTTAGTTAACGCTAACTATAGAGTAGTCTAGGTATATTCTTACGCTTAACTACTTAACCTCTAGACTAGACCTTAGAAACTAGCTAATAAACCTATAGATAACTAAGATAACTCTTAAGATAAGCTTCTAGATAGGCTACGCAGAATACTAGTAGAAGAGATATACTATTAGCTCTATAATAATAAGCGTGCGTTACTCTAGACTACTTCTAGACTATTCTTAGCTTAGTAGTCTTAAATATTCTACTTATTACGCTCTTTACGTTTAGCCTTATCTAGAGTAGTTTTTAGATGTACTTTTAGACTAGTATTTTTATATATCTATCTAAGACTATAGACTATATAGGCTTTATATACCTTACTATTACTATAGTTAATAACTTCTATACTACGTAGTATTAGTGTAGTGTCTATTAAGTGTACTCTAAGATAACTTACTTACTAATAGCCTTTACTAGAGACACAGCTCTGCCTATAGAGTTTATTCTATAATAATTCTACTCTAAATTATTACTATCTTAATGTTAGATATTCTACTATACTTTAGACTTAATAAGAGACTTTATAAGATATAGGCCTATAGCGTATATACCTCTATCTTCTTTATTCTTTGCCTAGGCGCTAATTTTACTATTAGAGAATATAGCTAAAATATTAGTCTAGTATAGACTTAGTATATTCTAGACATACTAATTAGACTCTTAATAAATTAGTTATATTTCTCTAATATCTTATAGTTAATAAAATTCTTAATAGCTCTATTTAAGCTTTCTATATTCTAGTTTATACTCTAAGTTAATTCTGTAATCTCTCTTATAAAGTAGACTACACAAAATATAATAATGTATATAATATACTATTACTAATCTCTACTATTATAAGTAGTATATATAAGATAATTACTAAATTCTATAAATATATAAGTAATCTTAGTATATTCTACTAGTATAGTAACGTACTACTAAGCTACTTAGTGCATATATCTATAATAATAATTTAAATTCTAGTTCTATTTTAGTAATACTAGTTTATAGAGTATTCTACTATACGCTATTCTTAGAATACTCTAGTAAATACCTTCTAGTATATCTTTTTAGTGTCTCTATTAATGTATACCTACGTAATTATATAGACTATAGTACTATATTAGATTAGTCTAAGTAAGAACTATATAATATACGTTTATCTAGGCTCTCTAAGTAAGTAGTAAAGGTAATCTTCTATATAGATTTTATAGCTATACGCTTAAAACTTATATTAATAAAGAACTAGCGCTAAGAACTATTTTAGAGTAGAGTAAGTTAAGACTAGAAGAATATAATAATAACTAGATTATTTCTATTATAGTAGAAGTGTTTAATATACTAGGCAACGTTAGTCTAGAGTATACTAGAATTACTTCTATTCTACACTTACTCTGTCTAGCTTTCTATACTCTACTTAGTAATGTATCTTAATACTCTTAATTCTATTATTATAATATATTATAGTTAAATTCTTCTTATAATAGAGCGCTTAAAGTATATTAAGATTATTTAGAGAAGCGTATAGCTTAGCTACTAATACTAGACTTTTATCTTAAAGTAGTTTATAGAGAAGATAGTTTTATAACAAAGTTACTAGTTAGAATTAGTCTTAGTTAGTACTTAATTAATAGTGTATACGTACTTATATTTTAATTACTTTCTTGTATAGTGTAAATAATTTAACGCAACTCTTTCTCTATAAGTAGTAGAAGCTTAGATAGTAGAGGTAGTAGATAGTTATAGTTATTATAGAATACTATAATAATTATAGAATTAGTCTTAATTTTAACTAGAATAAAGACATAGAAGACGTTTAGATATAGACTTAGTTCTAGAAATTACGTTAGAAAGTTAATAATTAGTTCTTTACTAGTAAGGTAGGTAATCTCTAGTTAATATAAGTATTAACTAAGATAGCTCTCGCACATACGTATAGTAGGTAGGTTTTCTTACTCTATTCTACTCTATAATATAATACTTAGTTATTACTAGAAATATATAATCTTCTTAGAATTATTATATTAAGAAGAGTATCTCTAAGTTATATTTAGAAGAGATCTTTCTTTTAAAATACTTACTCTACTAAACACTAGAGTTATATTAATAGGCACATATAATATAGTACTATAAAGTTTTAGATATTATCTTATAAAGTTAGTCTACACTTAGATAAGTCTCTATATTAGTATAGCATAGAGAAGATATAAGATAGCTCTTAACTTATAATAATATTTATATTCTACTAGATAGTAGGCTAATAAGTCTTAGCATTATACTCTTTATATAAAGTTCTAAGATAAAAGGTTCTAATTATAGCTATAAAGTAGCTACAACTATTAGACTAAATCTAGTAGAATTTAGATTACTATATACCTATAGATCTCTTACTATATAGAGTTTCTATTTTTATAGAAATAGATCTTATGTATAGTGTTAACTATACTCTTACTATAATAAGAGTAAGATAACTCTTATACCTAAGAACTAAGCGCGCTGTAGTATTTAATACTTTAGTACTTATATTTATAGTAATAGTATTTAATATTACCTAGAATTTAGACTCTTATACTATAATTAGTTTTAGAATTCTTTAACTTATTTATATCTTTTTTCTAGACTTAGCTATAGCTATACTAGATTACTTTATAGGCGTTAGTAAAACGCTAGAATAGACTAAGTATTCTCTTATACCTTAACTACTAAAAGAGTCTAATATTAGGTTTTTATATATAGTAACTCTACTACGTATGTAGTACTAGTAGGTAAGGTATAAAAGTATATTAGTACTATAGTTATATAAAAGAGCACTAATGCCTCTAAGAGAGTAGTTTAAGTACTATCTTAATTCTAGATAATAAAGTTATTATTAGCTTTAACTTCTGCTTTGCTATTTAAATTAACTAGTATATTAGGTTTAATCTTAGTATTATCTAGGTAATAATTACTAGAATTACTATTAATATTAATATCTAAGAACTTAGGCTATTACAAGTTAGAAATAAACTTAGTATAATCTAGATAATATACACGTACGTCTTTAGAAGGCTTCTCTAGATTTAGCTAGTAATATACGTTTTATAGTAGTATAAGAGAGGTTTATACTAGTAGCTTAGCTACTATATAAGTAAACTAGATATTACTTTACTTATTATTAGCGCAAGATATAGACTATAACTAGACTAAGTATACACTAGACTCTTAACTACTCTAAACGCTATCTACTTATATACGCTTTATTAGAGATTCTTCTAAGTCTTTTCTAGATACTATATACGTAGAAGATACTATAGATATATTATAAAATAGGTCTAATAGTGTATAACTACACTAAATAAAGTAACTATAATCTATCTAAGATAAATTAAATTAGTAAGAGCTTAGTGCAAGCTACGCTATAGTATACCTAAGTTATATATATATCTAAGAGAAAAGGTTACTTAGTTAGTAACTTATCTAAGTATAGGTTTAAAGGCTTGTTATAGTTAATAGTACTACTAGTAGTAGTATTAATTAGTAAGAAGTTAATAGTAACTAACTAGAGTTTATAAAATTAGACTAGGTATACTCTATAACTAAACTAGATAGTAATTAAGTATACTACGTATTAGCTAAGAGACTTAACTATATATAGTCTAAGGTTCTACTAAAGCTACGCTATAATTTATTATAAAGTAATTATTATATATTTAACTTAAAGTAGTAAGTCTATATTACTAGAGTAGTCTCTAAGTATAGTCTAGGTTCTATCTCTGCGTAGGTTACCTATAGCTAAGCTAATAGAGAAGGCTTTTATGCTACTATAGTATTAGTAATAAAACCTAAGTTTATTAGACTATACTAAGTACACACTAAGGTTAAGAATAGAGATTTTAGTTCTACGCATCTTAGATCTAGATCTATCTTAGTCTAATCTAATATAGTATTAAGAATAAATAAGCTAAAAATTCTAGAGTGCTAAGCTATTTTAAATACTAAGTAAGAATAGCTAAGGTGCGCCTCTACAGCGCTTGCTAAGGTTACCTAAGGTTGCGCTATAGAACAGCCAAGCTACACTATCCGTGAAACAGGCGTAATGTTTTGTTAAGAGACCCGAGATTTGCCCGTGAAGGAACGCCTTAGCCCCGCCAAGCCTTACCCCTCAATTCTCTATCTCCCCCGTGTCTCTCCCACGATAGCTCCCCCGAAGGCCTAGATCATCACGAGATATAGCCACAGCTATTGTAATTCGAGGAAAAACGCACGACCGTACTTTTACGCGATTAGGCTCCCGCTCGTCGGCCGTCAAGATGGTCTCAGCCTCATCCGCAGACGCGGCATGCGGCTCGCAGCGGAAGATAGCAGCCGCGGCGCAATTGGCCTATATACTCAAGCCTTTAAGCCTCATCCCACGTTGAATCCTCCAAGACCAAAATTCGAGTAGCGACTTTCGCCATGACTGCTTTCACCAACCCAGTTCTCCCTGGCTTTAACCCAGACCCGTCCGTCATTCGCGTGGGTAGCGACTACTTCTGCGTCACTTCGTCCTTCGAATACTTCCCTGGCGCGCCCATATATCACAGCAAAGATCTTATCAAATGGAAGCTAATTGGCCATGCGCTCACGCGCAAGTCACAACTGGATATCAAGACTCCTGAGCCGGGAGGCGGTATCTGGGCAACAACCATTCGTTACCACAAAGGTACATTCTACATCATTACCAACTCTTTCGACCGATACAGACCGCAAAACGACGATCGCGTATGGCCCCGAGGCTTCTATGTCAAGACCACCAACATCTGGAACGATAGCACGTGGTCTGAGCCTGTGTACTTCGATCAGATTGGCTTCGACTTCGACCTGTTCTGGGACGACGATGGTCAAGTATACTTGTCTTCTACCTACAGAAAGCTTGATCGGACTCCTGGGGGCAAATTGAAAGACTTTGCGATACACATATCTACTGTCGATCTGGAAACTGGCACTTTGAAGTCTACGCCTAAGATGGTTCGGGAGTCGGAGTCTGGTATATCAGAGGGGTCGCATCTTTTCAAGTTGAACGGCTACTACTATCTCTTCACGGCGGAAGGAGGCACAGAGTCTGGGCACTGCGAATACGTGAGCCGGAGTCGAGAAAGCCCCTTCGGACCTTGGGAGCAAGCACCGCACAACCCGCTTTGGCGCAACACAACAGACGACGACATCCAAAATACTGGCCATTGCGATATTGTTGAGGACACCCAAGGCCAATGGTGGGCCATGTGTCTAGGCGTGCGACCGAGGAAGGAAGATGGCGAATGGCGAACGTCGGTTTTCGGACGCGAGTCAATGTTACTCCCAGTTCGTTGGGAAAATGACTGGCCAATCTTCAATGAAGGGAAACCGGTCACACTGCAGATGAACGGGCCGACAGAGTCCACTGTTGGTGACGACAAGGCTTGGAGGGACGATTTCAGCGGGGTCAGGCTCGGCCTTGGCTGGTACAGGAAGAGTAAGCAATGCAAGAAGCTGGTATACGGTACAAAGCTAATGCACGCCTAGATACACCCGTGAAGAAGGAATACTCGATGACAGCGCGGCACGATTCTCTTACCCTAAATGGCGGCCCATACACCCTCTCGATGCCAGCATGTCCAACACTATTCCTGCGAAAGCAAAGACATTGGCCGGTGACGTGGGAGACCCAACTAGATTTCCAACCGAACGTCTCACGCGTCGAGGCTGGAACTGTATTGTACTGGAATCACACTTGCTACTCTAGCATTGGCATTGCTTTTGCAGATCGCAATGGTCAACCTCAACGAATCATTCGACTTACCCGTCCGGACATGGAGACTGTGGAGCAAACCATCCCAGAGAAGGGTGAGGTAAAACTCACCATCGAGAGTACGGCTACCTCCTACCGATTCGGCTATCGGGAAGTCGGTGATGGGGCACAGCAGAGCGCTGAATGGATATGGCTGGGCGAGATTGATACCCAGGTCATGACGCGTAACCCAGACATTGGGCAGCCTTTCACTGGCATGATGATGGGCCTGTATTCGTATGGCGAACTGCAGCCTGTACTGACTCCGGCGCATTTCGCTTATGCCGAATTTCGGTAGTTTCACAAGGTCATTGTCCCGTCTGAGGATGACTTATCTTACAACCTGCACCGCGATTCAGGCATACATCATGTCACTCTTGAAGTACTCTAATCAACACATTGCTAGATTATCCTATTCGCGATGCTAATTCTGTGAAGCTAGATGGTTTAATTGACAGAGATACATCGGGCGATACTACCCCCAGGTGGCTATTCCACTTCAATGATGCACGCATTCATTCCTCTTCCTCAGTTTCGCTGCATTCACAGCTCCCTTCATCGACACCTGCTTACGGTCCAAGCCGCCAATTGCCTTGCGATCCAGAGCGACACTCGCTTTGTCATCGTTAGGATACTTGGCTGTGATATTTCCAAACTTCTGATCCGCCTCTTTGGCAATGTACACCAACTCACCCCCCACCATCGTGAGCTGGACACGTTGTCGACCAATCATCTCTTCCGGTACAGTAAAGTAGTCGTTCTCCAAGACGATCAGATCAGCAAATTTGCCAACTTCCAGAGATCCAATGTACTTGTCGGCCCTCAAGAACTTGGCGCCGTTGATAGTAATGGCGCGAAGAGCAGCTTCGCGGGAGATGCCTTCGCCAGGAAACGTGCCATTATAAGGAGCGCCCTGGGATGCCGAGGAATGCGGATTACCAGGATCACCTGAGCGCGTGACTGCTATCTTCAGAGCGAGGAACTCGTCGAGAGGGTCGACTGGCCAGTCACTCCCGTAGGTAACGGGCCGACCGGCTTTCTCGATCTCGGCATAGGCTTGCAGGTTCTGGCGGCGGTATTCGGCTAGCGATGGGAAGGTGTTGGGGAGGTATGAAGGGGCGAGCTGCGACCACTGGAAGCTCATGATTGCATCGACTTCTAGTTCTCTGAAACGGCGCCAGTCGTCCTGGTGAGAGAGCTCGTCGTGCGCTAGACCGAGGCGGAAGTCGTGTCCGGGATGCGCTTTACGGAACGATTCGGCGGCGTCAAGACCAACGCGGACGGCAAGATCGCCGTCGGCATGGAGTTGTGCGTCTATACCGGCGAGGAAGAAGCCCGATAGAGTACGTGCAAGGATCTCAGGTTCCCAGTATGTCTTCCTGAGTGTGCTTGGATCTGGTGCCCATGTGGCATTAGACCCATTGACCAAGCTCCAGTATGGCTCAATGAGAGCTGCCGTCCTTGCCGGATAAGTAATGACACCATCCAAGAAGGCCTTCACGGCCTGCCATTTGAGAGACGGAGCAGGCTGCATTGTAGAGTTGTTATCGAACCCACGTATGAGCTCGACAGTCTTGGCCACCAGATCAGGCACTTCGGCGACGGAGCTTGGAGCATCGATACGGTAGTCAAAGAACGCTCGTGCGCTCAAGCCTCCTCCCTGCTGAACAGCTTGAAACACCTGGTCGTACTCCTTCAAAGCCATCGCCTCTTGAAAGGTAGTGATACCGGACTGGCGCAGTAGCTGCATAGCAGCTAGAGCGGCCTTCACGGCCTCTTCTGGTGAAGGCAGAGGTATGCCGAGTAGATCAGAAGCATTGTCTTCAAGTACGCCTGAAGGTTCCTGGCTTCCGGGTAGCCGTTCGATGTGGCCATTAGATGGGTTTGGAGTCGCCGCGGTGATGTTGGATATCTCCAACGCCCGCGAATTCACCAAGATGGTGTGATAGTCGCTTGAGCGGACGACTACAGGGCGTTTCGTCTTCAGCACATCGATGCTTGTCTTGTCGATTTTTCCGCTCCGTGAGGTGAGAGTCGAGTAGTCCACGTTCACCGCTTCCATCCAAGCATCATCCGGTTTGTCGGGTTCATCATCAATGCAGCGCTGGATGTGCTGAAGAACTCCAGGTAGATCGAGCGGCTGGTAGTTCAGGTCGCATTTGAGGAGATAGATGCCGCCACCGAGGATGTGCATATGGGAGTCGATCAAGCCTGGAATGGCAGCGTGGCCTTGGAGATTGACTACCTGAGTCGCATTGCCAATGCGTACTTTGGCATCTCCGTTCGATCCGACGAAGGTGATGACGCCGTCTTTGATTGCCAGCGCTTCGACCTTCGAAGAATACGCGTCGAGCGTGTAGATGGAGCCGTTGTGGAACACGGTGTCCGCAAAGGATGGCTGTCGTGCCGGTATGGCGTTTGTTGCAGCATACAGCGCTGCCGTGGTGAGTATTCGCATAAGCATATTTGTTCCAGAGGCAGACATAGAGAAGCTGGTATGTGGAAATTGATGGTGAGAATGTTCATGGTCGGTCTCGATACCATATATAAGAAACCATCCATCATACCGGTGTTCGTTACGCCCGTAACGCGCGCAGTATATGCGTTCGGCGCATACGCCCGGCCGAATATGATGCTGTATGTATTCCCTAGACAGGAAAGTACACGCGTTTCTGGAGTGGCTGATTGCTACGAAGTATCGCCGACAGCCTCATGTTCGGACATCTTGGCACTTCCGAGCCTTCAGCTACAGCATCATGGGACGATACCCCACATGATCAAAGGTCGCACGAATATACGCGCGGGGGGTTTCGGTGCTTCGGAGTCCGGAGAAGAGATTGTTTGTACGATTGTTGTACAACAAGTCTTTCTTGCAAAGTGGAGGAGCCGCCAAAAGCAGCGCACGAGCCTACATACACCCAACGCGTCGCAGTACATCGCGCATCAATGAGATGTCTACGCCTGTGCCCCGACAATTGATCAACATTACGTCCGCTTGGTGAACCCTAAGCATTGTCCAGGCATATCAGCCTTTGATGGCATCCGCCAATGGCTGGAACCACGTCGCAGCCAACTTCTTATTGCCCGCATCATTCGGATGAACGCCATCGCCGGTCATAGTCTTCGTGTCGAACCCGGTCCACGCGTCTACGACCGTGATGGGGCTGTCTGCAGTCGTCTTGGTCGCAGCCCAAGCTTGAATCGCAGTGTTTAGGGCAACGACACGTTGCCCACACTCAGCGCAGTTCGAGGGGTTCATGGGAATGATCTTCGCGGCCAGAATCTTCATCGTGGGCTTCGAAGTGCGCATCTGGTCTACGAGCTTGCTGAACGCGGTGGTGATCTCTTGGGGCGAGCGGTTGCTCCACACGTCGTTCGTACCGAGGTGCGTCAAGACGATGTCGGGTTTGGCGGATGAGAGCCAACCGGGGAGCTGGTTCTGGTTCGCGATGTTTACTGCTAGAAAGCCGCCCTGCCGTTCCGGATCAGCCATGCAATGGGCGCGTGATGATGAGCTTACATGTCCCTCGTTCTCTCCGTCGTATGGAAAGCCACAGCCCTGGCCAGCCAGACTGCCTACAAAGTCGGTGTTCTTGATACCGGCTTCTTGAAGGTTCTGCCAGAGGTAAGCCCGCCAGCAGCCCTATGCGGTGGGTAAGTACGTATTGCAGTAGGCTTGGTGCAGGGTACATACTGGGCTACCGGTGATCGAATCGCCGAGAGCCATGATCTTCACCGTCGATTGGCGAGTTGTTAGTTCCATTGGAGTTGCTGAGGCTGCTACTGCCAAGGCTGCGATAGCCAGCCATGCCGAGCGGATGGTGACGCGCATGTTGGCAGTGTGTATACTTTTCGTAACGTGTTGAGCGGAGTGCAATGCTTGTGTCCTTCGAAATCAACACGAAATGTACACTGAAGGGCTCAGCTCCTCTTGACCCAAGAATGAGCCGGCTGGTCCAGCTGAAGGTCTTGGTATAGTGTCTAGTTGGCGGTAATGACAGCCTCTCCGGTGATCAAGAGGGGCTCAATTCCAGTAATCAGATCTCGCTCTGCCAAATAACTACGGACAATGGCCTCAAAAGTCGCTCCATGGATCCACAGTTCATCTAGATATGACGCACCCCGCAATATGAGAATCAATCTTGCACGAGAAGACCCACCAACGGGTGATATCGAGGAGAAGGTCCTCCATATTTGGTGTACTCGTGCACCAACTGGAATGCGTCACCCTTTGCAGCTGCGACGGCCAAGATGAGGTGAATAAAAAGTGCTATATGCGATGCACCCAGTGCGGCCCACCAAGCTCCGCGCCGAAAAGAAATGACAACGACATGTTCACGTCACAAGGCGTGACAGGGCGAAGACACGTGCACCCCTGATGGCGATGGGGTCGTCGCAGACGATATGGAAGTTTGATGAGTGTGGGTGTGAGTGATACGAAGAAACCTCGGAAGCCAGTGGACGGCCGGGTGGCACGATGCAGCGGCGCTCAAGGCCCGGAGCGGGTCGCGCACTTCCCCGCTGCCTAAGCGGCCATCGACACCAACGGCAAAAGATTCCAGCGAACTGCTGTTACATGCCCAGGTACCTACAAGGTAGTAGCTGTGCAAAGATTACTCATATCCAATCTATCGTGTTCCTCAACCCCGAGACAGGCATTCTACCATGTCGGACGACAGCCACCGAGCCGTACCTAGGTACCTAGTCTTGTTGAATGATGCAAACCTCAATGCCACAATAGAGTGCAATTTTCGGCCAGCCATCTTGTTTACATCTCACAGCGAGCGGTCCGAAGAATATCGAAACCTGAGCTCTTGCTCAGTTGTAAGTTCATCAGCGCGATACTCAGGTACTTTGAGATCGTGAAGAAGTTAAGAGATGTACCAGCCTGCTATCTCATTACCAGACCGCAGTCTGACTCGAAGGCGCACTCTGTTCATTGGTCTTAGCATCAAGGAGAGAAAGTACCAGAATCTTGATAGTGGTACGCCTATTTCCCTGCGCCTTCTGGACACATTCCAGTGGTTATACTAGACGCCTTGTTCTTGTCGATCGCAATGTTGCGACAACCGCAGAACCAGCACGGCACAGAAGATGTGACGTCTAGAATAGAGTTTGGACATATCGCGAAGGTTTATTATACGCGATCTAGATAGAAGCTTCGTCAGTCTTCGCATCCCGCTAGACGCTACAGGTATTTTCGCCGTGCCATGACATGTCAGATCTGCGATCGGGCTGTGTTTGAGTTCGCAACAAATGACGGACTAGGAGGACGGCTCGGAGCTCTGGGTATACTTGGAACTGAGAGCCGTTGCAAGGAAGCCCTGAACGGAGTGAATGTACGTGATTCTTCCACGACCATGGGTACATGCTCGCAAAACGTTTCGCCATAGGACGCGGTGCAGAATTCCGATCAATCTCGCATTCCGGATATAAGATTGTCCCATCCATGGTATAGTAAACTGAAGATTCCCATTGATGAGTAAACACTGCACATCTCAAGCCGATGATCTTGTGGATGGTCACCTTCGAGCGTGATGGGAAGCATCACAGAACATTAGTGCATTAACGAACCTACTCAGATCATTCCAATATAGTGTCCTCCTGGAAACACTAGAAGCTGCCCCTTGGGCACAACGAACATTGTTGCGCTTCCAGGTCTGCCAGCTAAGGCACGTCAGTCTTCAAAACCGCATGGAACCCGGTAATCCGGCAGCCCAAAATCACCGGCCCTTCTTCTGCCGGTTTCCGATCTATGTATATGAGAGATGCGATTCGTCTAACACGAGGTGTTTTGCTACTGTGCTCAGCTACGCGAAGACGCACGGGAACCCGAGCACCAATTCCACGGAACAGGTCCCGACAGGCATTGGAGAGAACATCGATTCGGTTCGCGGACCGATTACGACAACTCTATACAGCCCGCCGCGGTAGAGATGCGTCCGCGATTCACGTTCGCGAAGGAGAGACGACGGGTATCAGAAGGCGACCGGCATGTTGAAGCGTAATCGGGCCGTTACCGAAGTGCCAGCCTCGAACAAGCTAGCGGGCGATAGCTCTGGAGATGCCGCTGGGTGATCGACAGCCTCGTCGCCATCGTCGACGTTGAAAACCACAGGGAGCATCTCCGCCAGACGCGTGGCTCACTTGTCGTGCAGATGACGGCGGCTGATCGGTTCCACACGTGCGCTGGTGTTGAGGCCTCATGCTCTACTCAATTAGGCAGGCGTCAAATCCTAGGCCAGCGCTCAGGTATTTCACTCTACGTACCTCAATGCGCTACCCAAGAACCCCTTGGACAATGCTCGAAGGAAGTCCATACTCAAGCCTTCCGGCGGGTGGCGCTGCACTCTCACCCGCACACATAATCACGGCTAAAAGTGGAGGCCTAGTCTGCGATTAGCCATTCAGCGCGCGCCGGACTTCGACTGGAGGAACGAGTGGTGGGCAGAGGGAAGAGGCGTTTTGCGCACTGCGCCAGCGTGAAGAGTAGATGATAAGCGAGATGCGTTTCCTGCAAGGCGGCACGTCGCGAGACACCGAGCGTGAACCCGAGCCTTGAACACCGGATCGCGGGATGTGGAGGAGAGAAGATGAGATGGTTCATGCGTGTGCAATTCTCGAGAGAAGATGTTCAATTCTATCTAGCAATCGTTCAATGAAGTACCGACTTTGGCTCAGCAACAAGATCCTTCTGGCTCTCGCTGTCGCTGATCCGCGAACTTTGTTCGAAATGCTGCTCGAAATGCCGCGAAACGTAAATGTTTTTACCAAACATGCCGCCTTCTTCGGAGGTCGTCTGATAAGGTGTTGTGCTACCTGGCCGACCCAGTTCAAAGTCATCGTCGATGCGTCTTGCTGTGCTCCTGACACCAATTTGCTTCGTGCTGGCTCCAGTACCAGTCCCACCCCCATATGCCCTGCTGACATTGAGCGATGAAGAGAAGCCCGGGATAATCTTGACAACAAGGGGCTTGAGCGCGGGAAGCGATGCGCAGACGATGGCTAGGTTCATCTCGATCGCGGACCAGTAGGCTGTCGGTGCACTGTAGTAAGTGTTGTCGTCGGGATGCGCGACCAGGACAACGAGGGCGTGGAGGCGGAGGATCGATACGACACAGACGAACCAACCAATGGTCAGGATCGCCAAGAGAGCAATCTTTTGACGCATGGCAATCTGCAAGGTCCAGATGACGCGAACGGGAAGGAAGGCGACGAGAAGATCGGTTACGATGTTGATGCTGGCGTTCACATACCAAATCCTATGATACAATTAGCATTGCGCATCGTGAGGTTGAGCAATTTGATATCACTCACGTCTTGTTGTCGATACACTTCGAAGTCGGCTGCTCCAGGATCTTCCAGTAGGCGTGGACAGGGACGCATGTGAAGATAGAGGTGATGATTGTACTCACACCCCAAAGGACGCACACGGCCATGACGATGTGGAGTGGGATGCGCATCTCGCGCACAGTAAAGATCCGGCCGTATTGCAAGAGAATGGACACTTTAGTGAACATAAGGCTGGCGTTGTAGCAGATGATACTCCAGAAGAGGTACTGGGATACGTTAGCTTTGGATTATAGATCATGTACGAGTTCTCACCTTCAAGATGATTTCAACTCCGGTTGGAAACTCGATTAGGGCAGCGTGCTTGCCGTTTCCAGCATTCGCCTGCATGACCTGAAGTATGCCGGTGGCAATGGATAGAGCCATTGAGACTACAATAGTGTAGTCTTCCCATCCTAATGCTCGTCCAAGGTATCGAAGCCGAGTAAAGAGACGCAGGCCAACGCAAATCACCGCTATGCATGTAAAAGCAACAACGATAGACTTGGTGAGTGGACCCCGATCGTCCTTGGCCAAGGCGGCCGACTGTTCGGGTGTTAAGGGATCCATGGTTGTAGTGAAGAGAAACAGACGATGCTACACGTAGCTTGTCGATATGTCGGACGGGCGTGGTGAGGTTACCAAGGCACTCCTTTACATATGTATTCGCAGTTCCCCGTGGGTGGAAGAGTACATGTGTCAGGCACTGCGCCCGGAGGTACCTGCACTGCAAGCTGCACGGACTAGGGTGACAGTTCACACAAAACCGGGAGGCTATGTCGTTTGAGGAGGCATCCGAAACTCAAAACTGATGGATAAACGAGACCCTGGTAGCATGTAGGGAAGATCTGGGGGGATGGTGTGCCTAACGGAAGAGCTAGACTTAGCAGACGGCAAGAAGTTGGCTGAGCCAATGAGACTATGCACTTCTCCCTGCATACGTAAAAAGTCTAAATTCGAGGGGTACATCTCCGTAGCGGACCGTCGCAGTGAGCAAGACCACACCATGCATACGAACTCACTTGCATGATGCAGTCTATGCGTTTGCCATGGTGGATGGCGATCTTTGCCGCTAAATGGGCGTCTTCCAAACCACGAAGTCGTCCCTCGGTTCACCGGGTGCAGATCATGCAGGTGCTTTGACGAACGAGCTTTTCGCGTGGCGTAGTCTGTGTTACGCAAAACATCGCTTGGGTTGAACGAACGGCCTTCGTTGCTGAATGACCAGGCGGGCCAAGTGCGGACGGGAGCGCTGTCATGGTGTGGTGAGAGCTCGGAACTTGTTCGCGCGAACATACTGCAGTTGGCTCTCGTATTATTAGGTGCGATTGCTCTCCCTTGAGCGTTCCTTAGTCGTATCTTTGGCGAGCGTCTGAGCCCTCCGTCAACATGATATGTTCACATGCTGATGGTAGGATAGTGCGGGAGAGAACCTGACCAGGGTACCATTCGAAGATGGTGGCGTCATGTAGGAGAGCCACCAAATACCGGCTAATTTGAGTGGTGTAATCTGCCCGTAGCCTTAGTGTGACGCTAGAGCAGTCCATGGAGAGTCTTCGTGTTCGGAAGCATCCCTGCGGATCGGACTTCAAACTCTATCATCTTTAGCTGCCCTACCACCTACCAGCCTGCTGTGCTCAGGTCCGCCGTTCGAGAGCAGCCATGGAAATAACTGACCAGAAGCATACATAGGATAATGCTGGTAGTCCGGGCCGCCTTTGTCCGTTGCTCCGTTGCATTCGTAAAGGCTCGATTGAGATAGACTGCGGTTATAATGACGGAGGCGCCACGCCACGACTCTGGCATGTCCGTAGTCGTCTCAACAGGCGCTGAAGGCCTCGCATCTGTGGTCGCATTCTCGTGCATCGCAAGCACCGTGCGAGGCCATCTCGCCTGACACATGCCTGTTTGGAACATTGCTGAGTCTTGCGACAGATCAGCCATCACACAGCACTGCGAACGAATATGTCATTCTGACATCCCGAGCAATGCAGTGTGTCGTCCGCGTGGGAAAGGATCTCAAACGGATCGTTTGTGAGGTAACATCCGTTTCAAGCTCGAGTACTGCCTCAGGAACGATAATCCCATGCAGATATTGTGCTGGTAGCGGCATAACGCGGGGTGCGATAGGATTCCTGCAGCTGAGGTGCGCCCGGACAGGGTCGGTTAGAAGGTTTGCGCTACGTCAGCGATGCAGCAGTACGAACACAGAGCCCATGCGACAACAGCTGATTTGTGATCTATTTCGCAGTATGAACGAAGTTTCGTAAAAGCGCGTCATGATTTTGCCATGTAGAGGGCGTGCAAGCAAGTGGATGCCTGGGAAGGGAGAAGATGCCGGAACCTCGGAAGCATCTCGTGAAACGTGATCTCAGCCGGAACGGGTCGATAGCGCCAAATCGTCTCCTTGGCACGCTAGTCTAGTTCGAGACCGCAGCAATGATTCCCGAGGTCCGTGAGAGCTGAATTCGAACACCAGCCTGTGGTGTCTTTACTAGCCACGCAGATCTTCGAACCTCCTCAACGATGCAGAAGTAGCGTGCGCATCTGTGCTGTGACGTGGACCGTGATGTGGCACGTATGTTGATTGCTGTTCTCATCCTACAGTACCGCGCCTCTGGCACCTTCACATTTCAATAGCTCTAGTAAGTATAACCAGGGTCTTTACAGATCCTGCACGACGATGGGTTCGCCGTTGGATCGACATATGGCATGGCATCTTCGCGATTGATACCCTCTACCTAGGTAAGTAAGCGAAAACGGCGTAAGGCGCCCCGCAGTAGGTGTGAGCTGACCCGGACGAACAGTTCAAGCACAAGCCAACGTCTTCTTAGCAGTCTCGAAGCTTCAGTTCAGTGATCGTCGTCCCCTGATCTGCAGTCACTGATCACTACCTAGACACCTAAAGAGCCAGAGACCTTCGAACCAACATGTCACATTGCGTTAACACACCCTTCCACGTCTACTAGAACTTTGTGTTCTTGCTGTCATCTGCATGTCGCCATTTCGGTCTCTAAAGCGTTTGAGAATGCTGTGAATAAGCACAACTCTGCTACACATTGACCGCGCCACTCGAATGACGTTGCTGAGAGGACATGTGAAGCGCGAACTGACGCGGTGGGCGCTGTATGACACCCACTTGAATACCAACATCATGGTTGATCATCCGGGAATAATAACGATACATTTGTCAAGACGCAAGGCGGTCTACAAACGCCAGGAGAATCGCCTCAGCCTCCAGCTCGGTATTCTAACCCTAGAGGCCGGCTACACGGCAATCAAGACGCTCATGTACTGGCTGGCTTAACGACTCCCAACCAATTCACCATTATCTGACTTCCGAGAACAAGCTACGTATATCACTTGTCGGATAAGCCTCCGCTGGCATGCGAAGTACGCGGAGGTGGACAAGCTTTCGACGATAAGGAACGTTTGTATTGACTGCGTGTATTTGTGCTGCCGCTAAAATCAACTACTGCGATACGATCAGCACAGAACTGTGTGATTACTATACGCGTTTATAATCATGAGCCAACGAAAGGAAGATAGCTGTCCATGGCGTCACGAGCTCGGAATCATGAAGAGTGAAATCATGCTGGTACCTAGGTAGTCATGACGAGGTCATCACGGTTGAGGGGAGATACCTTTGGGGGCTATGGGCGCTTTATCTTTGGCGAGTGGTTTACATTATTCATAAGTTGAGCATACAACAACGGGGATTATATTATGTTGTATGGAGTAGACTTCCTATACACGGTTCAATTGCCTGGGCTGCTTGCGGGTTACGACCGGGCGCAAGTCGTTCGTTCCTTCTGCGCTGAATCTCGCTAATCTTCAACTCACTACATATACGCTGAGATGCAAAAACGCATACACTATTACTTCGCTGCGCACTTCTACACTATTGCGATGCCTTTCATCAGATGGTGCGTCGCAAACTGAACAGTGCACGCGGGCAACAGCAGTTAGGCGTTCAGTTCACGCTACTTACACGCTCACATTCGCTAAAACTTGACTTTGCTACGAAAGAAGGGCCTAATGAACAACAGACGCTCTTTCTGCTTTCCTCTTTGCGATGATCCTTCTCCATTGTGCAACGGCCCTTAATATCAAGGAAACCTTTTCGAAAGATGAAATTGACTCATCTTCACGACGCTCGAACCCAAGCCAGTCAATCCCGCGAAGGCCTATAACCTGTTCATCCAATGCTGAAGACAAGATCTTCGCAAGATAATCTACCTGTTCCTTTTCCAAAGATGCATCCCTGATTTCGAGCCCAAGCTCCAGGTAACCCCGTCCAGGGCGCCTACGATATTGCTGGGCCACCCAAATATCATCTGCTGATTGGACCATCGGTGTTAGAAGAATATGGCGCTTGTTCGGTAGCAAACACCGTATCTCCGAGCTTGTACCCGGTCGTCTCGAGTCCTTCTCAATGAACCGATGAAGGTCCTGAGTCGAGAAATTATAGTGCCAGTGCCTGCTCTGTTTGTGGAGCTCTATCAAACCGTCAATTAATGTGCGCGTGAACGATTCGGGGCCAGGGGCGATATGACCACAGCTAGTTATCAACTGAAAGCATCTCGCAGTCTCCTGATTCCTGTAGTTGGAGTTGCTTTTGTCAACGGACACATGCCGTATATTGTCATTACTCGCATACTCTGTGTCCAGTATCGCAAGAACGTCTCCGTCGATTTCGTCCGAAGACAGGTAATCTTCCGTCTTGTACCAGTTTATCTGACCACTAGTGGAAGTGCCACGAGCCGTTGAAGATTCCAAGGACGGTAGAAACTCCAGTCGACCGGCATTTTTGTGGTGGGCAGAACAGCCCTTATAGAATACGATCATCAAGGTATCAGGGTGATCATGCGTCTCGACGAATGTGGTCAGAGCTCGGTCCATTTGATGTTGTGGTTTGGCTCGGTGGTTGAATTCAACAACGTCAGCCTTGAAATGAAATCGTTCCCGAAACACACGTGCGAGCTCCTCCACCTGTGATTGTGTCAGAACCATGGCCTTTAGTCTTTTTCGAAAATCCAGAACACTGATCCGGAAACTTCTCAGCGGTACTGAAATCTGACTCATATCTGATATCACTTACTTCGCGGCCGGTTTTTAATTCATCCAATTCATCCGTCCATTTCAGTAGCAACACAGCAACGTTTGCATAGACTCTGGGTGTTCCCATGTTCCTGGAGATTGCTTCAGCCCACCATCCCTGCATTGCCACTGAATGTCCTTGCGCCATGTCGCTTGTAGATTGTTTTAGCCTTGAATTGCTTCCTTCCGGGAGAGTCGTCTCAAAAGCTTCCTCCGCGCTTCTTTTGCGTGAACTATCAAGTGCCAGCTTTCGCTGAATCTCCGATTGGAGGCGGTCAAATGCATTT